AAATGTGAATCGCTGTCCTTTGGTGGAAGAATTATCCTCTTGAATGCTGTCTTATCAAGTATCCCAGTTTATTTCTTCTCAACCCTAAGAGCCCCTAAAAAGGTTTTAAATCTTCTTTCTTTAATCCAAAGGAGATTTCTGTGGGGAGGTGCTGAAGACAAGAGAACAATAGCTTGGGTTAGGTGGGACCAGGTTTGTAAAAGTAGGAATATGGGAGGGCTAGGTGTCAAGGACCTTAATAGTTTCAACTTGGCATTGCTAGGTAAATGGCATTGGAGACTACTATGGGAGAGGGATGCTTTATGGAATAGGGTAGTGGAAGCCAAGTATCAAGTACATAAAAAAAGAGATTATGAGGGTGAGGATGTGAAAGCAAGTAGTTCTGAGTGGTGGAAGGCAATATGGAGATTAGATAAGGAGATAGTGTCTAAAGAAGGATGGATACAAACGGGTCTTGAAAAGGTCTTAGGGGAAGGCAATGACACTTCATTTTGGGTAGAGAAATGGTGTGGGGAGGTCTCCTTCAAGGAGAAATTCAACAGGCTATTTAGATTGGCTGAAAATAAGGACAACGTAGTGAAAGATTTGGGGGAATGGAGGGAGGGACAGTGGGTATGGAAGTGGAGGTGGAGTAGGAACTTACGGGAGTGTGAACAATCTGTTTTGCAGGAACTTATTGTATTGCTAAGGGAGATTAAACTAAAACAAGGACAGCCGGACCAATGGAGATGGAAACATGATCCAAAAGGAAATTACTCTACCAAGTCAGCTTATAAAATTCTGAAAACCAACACAAGCAACCAGAGTCTGCCGCACTACAAATTGCTGTGGAATAACAAGGTACCATTAAAAGTTTCAGCATTTGCATGGAAAGCCCTCCAAAACAAAATACCTACAGGTGACAACTTGATCAAAAGAGGCATCTCAGGAACTAGTTCAGATTTTACATGTGTTTTCTGCGGACATAACCCGGAAACTACTAGCCATCTCTTTTTTACATGCGACTTCAGCTGGAGAATTTGGCAGTCGTGCTACGAGTGGTGGGGACTTCAATCTGCTACAACAAATGCGGGATGGAGCCATTTACAGCAACATGTGGGCATGATCTCCAAAGGTAGTTCAAAGAAAGCATGGTGCATGATTTGGTTCACTATTTTATGGTCAATTTGGCTTGCGAGAAATCAGGTAATCTTTCAGAAGGAATCTGTTTCTATTGATCAGATTACAAACTTAATTAAATTGAGATCCTTTGACTGGACTAGAGCTAAACTTGATAGTGAACTGTTAAAGGGAAGCTGGTTGCAGGACCCTATGAAAGCAAGCAAAACTAGTGAGGTTAATTAAAATAGGGCACTGAGCTAGGCTGGGAATGAGAG